TTGTTGTTGATATTGTTGTTTATATAATGTGTTCTTATTTATGGTAAAGTTTATTTAATAATTTTTCGTGTTTTTGTGACAGATTTTTTCACTTTAATTAATTATTTCTTTGTTGATGTAGTCGTAGTAGTAGTAGTATTACTAATAGTAGTAGTAGTAGTAGTAGTAGTTGTTGTTGTTGTAGTAGTAGTAGTAATAGTAGTAGTAGTAGTAGTAGTAGTAGTAGTAGTAGTAGTAGTAGTAGTAGTAGTAGTAGTAGTAGTAGTAGTTTTTTTTTTACGTTGACATGGTCATGCTAAATAAGTTAATGTTGGTCGCTTTAACAAGCGTTTTTTTCACCAATAAATCATCTACATTTAAACTAAATATTCAATTTAACGTTAAATTTAAAGTTAAAATAAACCTATCTAAAATTGTTTAATATTATTTTGATTCTATTTGATTTTATCTTTAACATATTAAATGTTATACAAGTGTTTAATGAAGTTATTGCTTTATTGCTACTGCTATTGGCTGACGTGTTGTTTATAAGTTGTTAAATGCATTAGGATGGGTAGTACACAAAATTCTAAACATTTAGTCTGATGAAGATGATGTAATGATGACGTCATTGACGTTGTTGCTGAAGTTAATGGTGATGATGATTGTGATGGTGATGATGATGGTGATGATGGTGATGAAGATGATGATGATGGTGATGATGATGGTGATGATGGTGATGATGATGGTGATGATGGTGATGATGATGGTGATGATGGTGATGAAGATGATGATGATGGTGATGATGATAGTAATTTAAATGCAAATGATGATGATGTTGAACTCGATGGCTGTTTATATTGTTGAGGAGTCATCAGTGGGACCAATGTTATTGCCAAGCTCTCTACTCCATTAACATTCAGAACCACACACACACACACACACACACACACACACACAGACACACACACACAGACACACACACACAGACACACATACACAACTTAACATCAACTAGCCAATGCAACTGTACATTATCAAAAACAACAAAGAAAAACAAACACAGGAACATTTGTACATACAACAAATAGATACATGCATAAATTTAACCATACTCAACAAACAGACAGCAAACACGTACGTGCACTTGGTGATGGTCACACACACACGCGCAGAAATTCAACCGTGAAAGAGAGATTAACATTTATAAACAGTTAGACACCCGATTGCATTTTTACGTACAAAATCACACGTACTCGAAAAAACTTTAATTTTTTTTCTCTTTGCCTCTCTTTCTCTCTCTTTTTCTTTTTATCTTTCTTGCTCTCTTTTTCTTTTTTTTTCTCTGTATCACTGCCCCCCTTCTTCACACAAGCAGATTCCAATCCTTAAATTCATGGGAACACTCAACACTCACACAGACAAACAGACGCATATAAACAGAGACATACATACAGATTTACACAAATAAACACAGAGACACAACACACATACAGTTTTCCATACATAAACACAGATACGCACATACATACGTACATAAACATAGACAGACAGACTCAGACAGACGTTGATGTAGAGCAAGCAATATGGCCATCCAACTGTCCAATGCACTGATTTAACACTTTCTTATTGAACCGGTCCATAATTAACTCTCTCTCTCTCTCTCTCTCTCTCTCCATCTTTCTCATTCTCTTTCTCTCAAATTTGATTTTATATTTTTTACTTTCTAGATTTTAATTCTATCAGATCAACTTTTTATCGTGAACGTGGCTTTGTTTTGTAAGTAGACACATATCATTTAAATGGGATTAGTATTGAACGTTGAAATTATCAACATTTACTGGTAATCTGACCTCGAACTTTGATATGACTTTATTTACACATAAGTGATGACATCCCCCCACATACACACACACACACACACACACACAACATACACAGACATACACACACATACAAACATATACACAGAGAAAGAGAAAGAGAGAGAGAGAGAGAGAGAGAAACTCAAACACACATACACACACACATACACATGTATTCACTTACACACACACAAATAGACAAACACACAAGACTAACAGACAAACATACACACACAGACAAACACACTCGTACACACACACACACACAATTATTAAAAACTATTTTTTTACATGACAACACAATAGAACAAATATATCCATAGATATGATATGCAACATTCATACTGGAGGCTGGAACATAAACGAACAAATGGGTAGTTTTTTAAATTAAGTTCAAGTGAATTAAATTTTCATGAGTCCGCTCATTTGTATTTAAGTATCATTAATATATAGATATGTATCCTATGTATCAATGATTGTTATAGTTTTTTCTACTACACGTACTTCCATTGAAAAGAACAATGAAGAATCAAATTAAAAAGCGAGAGATAATTATAACTAAATGAAAAACACAATTGAATGTATGGGCAGGGCATGGTACGTTATTTTATATTTGCTTGTCATTGCCTGTACATATTTTATTTATTATTATTATTATTAAATATTGTGTAGTGTAGTTTTACGGTTGTTGGGGGCATAGAAAGGTTCAGTCAGAGTTTTTTTTATTATTTTATTATGTTATGTTATTTATTTATGTTATAATACAAAGAATCAACAATAACGATGAATTGAAAGCAGCCCATAACATCAACAGATACTACATTTCATTACTACTAATAAATTGCGAGAAATATCTTGTAGAAAGAATTAATTTCAACGTTCCAAATTTAAATAGTAGCATATGAAAAAAAAATATAGAAACACACAAACCAACAACTACATCCATGCTAATACGCATCCATTTGGATATTCTTATATGAGGAATAGTTAAATTTGATACTCACATACACACGCTACGTATGATACAGAGAAAGAAGCACAACACAACTGGACGGGACGCATCACGACAGGAAACTTGTTGGACACTTCTAACAATTTAGAACCAAAAAAAAAAAATTTCAATTATTCTGACTTGCCGCCCAAAATCCATTTCAAAAAAACTATTTAAAAATAATTCAGCTACTTTTTTCTATTCTTTCTCCGGTCGGAATTTTTTATTGATTTTTGTGAAAATGTTCTTTGTTTTAATTTGTTTATGCTTGCAGGATGTTTAGGAGGTTTTTCATCTATAATGTTTACCGATAAAATTAAATAAATTTTACAGACTGCGTTTAACTTTAGAAGGCTTTGCATTGTTATAGCATGTCTGTGTTGGGGGTCTAAATTTTGGTCAGCATTCCTTAAGTGCGTATCAATTTTATGTGTTTATTACGTTTGGATGTTTAAATATGTTAGTATGTATATATAAATGTTTTGAAAGCACGCGCATGTGTGTGCATAAAAAATACATTGACGCAAATGTACGCACACATAACAATACACACACATACAAACACAAACAAGCAGACATGTACACACATCCATGCGATCATACACAAAAACATACACATACACAAACACAGATGCTCACATACATGTGATTAACTGGATAGGCATGTATTGCTTCATGCATCTCAATTAAGTTGTACTTGTTCATGTTTTTCTGCACAATGTCGAACGCTGGTATTTTTTTTCTGTTAATGAATGATCGGTGCGCACCGATGTCGACTTCCTTCGACGATCGCTTTGATTTGCGTCGCCATCATTCTGCCCTCGCCAGTGGATTTTCATTTAGGAACATTTTTTTTTCATTTGAGTTAATTTTAATTTCATTCTGTTCTTTTTTCTAGATATTTTTTTACTTCTAATATGGAAATGTTTCTAATAAAATTAGATGCAATTCAATATTAAATAAATTGTGCAATCATATTGCTAATTCAAATTGTGATTCAACCGTTATTTTATTAAATTATGGCCACATTTAGTTAAATTGAATAATTTCATCTGTTTGTATTTTATATTTATTTTTTGGAGTTGTTATCAATTATTCAATTACTAACAATTGTATAATTAATGACGACAATATGAAGCGTGAGTACGATCTGCTTCGTTGACAGCTTGCAAACCCAAGTGCAATTCATATTTTCGTTTCAATAACATCTTTTTAAATATTTCAACACAGAAACTCAAAGACCTTCCCTCCATCTATCTAACCATTTAGACAGACAGACAGACAGACAATACAGACAGGCAGACAGACAGACAGACAGACATCTAGATACACAACACTCGTGAAGAACAACTTTTTTCATAATCTCATTATCGTAGAATAAAAAACTTACAATGCAAACGTTTATTTAGGCGGAACTTTTAAATACGCCCGAACGCGTGCTTATCTAAAATTAAAATGCCTATGAACACACCACACGCACACACACACACACACACTCACGCACACAAGCGATACAGGCTCATACAAACATACAAATGCAGCTGTATCACAATCAAACAATTATTTCGTTATTTTTTCCATGTGAAAATGGAGCTGTTTTGTTTAATTCAGCGCGCGGGGAGCGCAATTAAGCTTCAGACAAAATATCTTTTTACTCTCTGCGTAGGTCCGTTACGATTAATTTAAATCTTCAGCACATTTACACTTAACGACGACAAATGCCTATTTTTCTTTTTATTTAGAAAGTGTTTGTCTGTGTGTGTGTGTGTGTGTATGTGTGTGCGTGTGTGTGTGTGTATGTGTATGTATATGTGCGCGCGTGTGTGTGTGTGTGTGTGTATTCATGTCGATTTATTTTTAAGCAAGTAAGTTCTATTTGATGAATATTATTTTTGGAGAATAATTAATTAAATATAACAGCACAGATGTTGAAACTCTGAAACTTCTATTTCCAAAAACGCATTTCAAAAGAACGGGTTTCACTAAAAACTAAAATGCCAATGTCCTTGTTACCGATATGAAAACAAGGATGTCCTAAAACAAACGAACTACAAAACAAATTTGTTTAAATAGCTGTTGTTGTATCGAAAATAAAAAAAAACTAAATAAAAAAAATTGAAGTTTTTTTTTCATTCAGGAAATGTAAGTTCTGTAAATTTTTTATTCTCTCCCACTTCTGAAATTTTTCCATTTTTTCTTAATTTAATGCCGGTCAATCAGGCGATATCTTCAGTCAAGATTTTATTTTATACTTAAACTTTGTTTTTCAAAAAACGCCAACAATTTTAAATAACAAAGACTTTTTAAATTAATATTTAAAATGAAAAAATAAGCTAAATAAAATTAACTCGATCATTCCACGGTTTTTAATGCACTCTATTTAATTAAATATTCAATTAAACATTCAATTAAACATTTAATTAATAACTCAATTAAACATTCAATTAAATATTCAATTAAACATTCAATTAAACATTTAATTAATAACTCAATTAAACATTCAATTAAACATTCAATCAAACATTCAATTAATTAATATAAACATTATATTAGACTATTCATACGATCGTTTTGAAACGAGAAGGTTTTTCGTTTTTTCTGTTAAGGTATTAAGTGACCTACCAGCCGAACTGATGGGTAACATCAAGATTGTAAACATTCAGTTGAAAATTCAATTAAACATTCAATTAAATATTCAATTAAACGTTCAATTAAACGTTCAATTATACATTCAATTATACAATTCAATTAAACACATTCAATTAAATACTCAATTAAATTTTATTTTCAAATAAGAAGTATAAAAATGTTATTGAGGAATATTATTATTATTTTTTATTTCTTTTGATTTTTTGGGCATCTGATAATAATTGGCGTGTCAATTAAGGAGATTTCCATGTGGAGAGGAATGAATGAATGGATGGATGGATGGATGAATAAATGAAAGAACGAACGAACTAACGAACGAATGAATGAATGAATGAATAAATGAATTACATTCCTCGCTAGCTAAATTGTTTCGAACATAATCAAACGTCATAATCACCAAAATAACAACAACAACAACATCATCAACAACAACATCGTCAACAACAACAACAACATCAACAACATCATCAACAACATCAACAACGACAACAACAACATCAACAACAACAACATTAACAACTACAATATCAACAACAACATTGTCAACAACAACAACAACATCAACAACGACAACAACAACATCAACAACAAAATAAAAAATGGAAGATATCTTCCATGACGTACTCACTATCTCGTACAGAGTTGCTTACGAAAGCCATATTTAATGATTTGCCCATCGCATGTGATTAATTCCAGAACATTTAATACCAATTTTTCAGCAGTTCCCTCTAAGTATATGTGTACGTGTGTGTGTATGTATATATGGTTGTGTGTGTGTGTGTGTGTGGTGTGTGGTGTGTGTGTGTGTGTGTGTGTGTGGGTGAATTTATGTGTGTGTGTGTATCTGTTGAGTGCAAAATAAAAAAAAAGAGTTATGTACAAAAACCACAAAAAAACCATTTTAAATTCCATATTAAACTGTTATTATGAAATAATAAAATTCTCAAACACACACACACGCAGCCAAACACACACACACAAACACGCACACGCACATGCACACGTACAAACGTACATACAATGAAAATACATTTATACATACTTATGACACGGTGTCATTTTTAATTGTTGTTAGCAAGCCATGCGAAGAAAGCTGCGGACCAGCACCGAGCCTCCGTGGGGAATAAATGAGTTTTGA